CCTACTTTTTATGGAAAAAAATTATAAAAAATCAACGTTACTTTTAGTCATTTGAATGCTTGCACTTTATCCTCCTGTAATTTAATGGGCTATACCTAAAATTTTTCTAAAAATTCTGAGTAAAAAGATTAAAACAAAAAAAAAAAATGCAAAACACACCAAACAATCCATATACTCACGACACTGTGGGCCAAATACAGTAAAACTGCGTTTTGAGTTTTAGAAATTTTTTACTAGAACTTTATGATTTCAAAGATATTATAAATTCTAAAAAATTATTTAAAAAATTCAGTGCAACGTAAAATAAAAATGGGTACCAAATGAAAGAGAAAATTCTTAGGGATTTAAAAATAAAATTACAATTTTTCGGGTTCACAAGGACGAACAGGTATTGAAATGCGGACGTTGTCGAGTCCTTAACATATAATTTTTTAAAAATAAATATTGCAAAATTTCAAGGATATTCAAGGATACAATTTTTAGCGGCGGTTGGTTGGTTGGGAGTAAATTTGCAAATTCAACGGAAATTGCACATAGAAATGGTTGGAACTGAAACTAGAGCTTCTTGAGTGTATGCACAAGGTATTAATTTAACAAAAATTTGCTAATAAAAGGTTACAAATAACACTTAGAAAAAGACCAATACAAGAATGAAAGTAAAGGGGAGTACGTACACAGATAATGAAAAGGATAAAGGCAAAGGTAAAAATAAAAACAAAAACAAAGATGCGTAAAGGCAAAAATGAAGACCAAGGTAAATTTAAACACTTTACTTACATATACATATAAGGGCAAAGGTGAAAGGGAATATGTAGATGAATAAAATGATAAACATAAAAGTAAAGAAAAAGAGGAGGATGAGGATACCGATAAAAGTAAAGATGAAGATAGGGGAAGAAAGATTAAAATAAAATGAATTAAAGAGGAAAGGATATAGAGAGAGACACATAGACTCAATCTGGGAACTATTTTGGGATTTTAGAGATTCTTGAGACTTATCGATAAAATATTCGATGTTTTTATCGGTTTTGTTATCGAAATTTTTGTGGATATTGTTACCAATAATGCTATCGATATTTTCGGAACTTATCGGTATAATAATCGATATTTTTATCGACTTGTTATCGATTTTGTAATCGATATTTTTAACTATTTTAGAGATATTTGTTATCGATTTTGTTATCGATATTTATCGATTTTGTTATGGATATTTTTATCGATTTTGTATCGATATTTTTACCTATTTTGTTATGGATGTTTTTTCGATATTTTTATCGATTTTGTTATGGATATTTTTATCGAGTTTCTTATATATTTTTCTACCAATATTATTATCGATTTTGCTATAGAAATTTTTATCGAATTTTTTCATCGATTTTGTTATCGATATTTTATTAGTTTTGTTATCGATATTTTATTTGATGTTACTATTCATTTTGTTATCGATAGAGTATAAAGCTAAAAATGAAGATAAAGGAAAATAGAATAACATAAATGTAAGTAAAACGAACAGGGGTAGAGGTAGGGATCTAGATAGAAAAAAGACAAAAAATATAACCTTAAGCAAAAGCAGATGTATGTATGTATATTGGTTATGAGACAAAATAGATATGTATGTATAAGTTTTATTTCTCCAGTGTGGCCCAGGCGCGCTGACTTTTTTAAACTATTTTCTTAATTACTCATATTATTCAATTTTCAAAGTCCTTTTCAAAAATCCTGACGTCAGAGAGAAAAGTTAAAAACGTAATTTTACTGCATATATTTGGCACATGGCTTCGCGAATATGTAGATACCGGGATTAACATCCCTAGTACATAGGTAAAGAAAAGATAATACTCCTTTCAATGCGCTTGCGGTGTGGTGTCTGTATACATATCATTATGGCTAATCTCTCACTAAAACACGAATAGTAAAAAATGTCCTTAATCCGACTTAAAAGCCGCTTCGCTCGCTCTATTGTCCATTTTTCGCTTTTACCTTTACGCTAAAGCTTCTGACGAAATTGCCTACAAGCACAAGTATGTTTATGCATACATATGTACATACATATTTTTATGTACCTATATCTTTTTCTCTGACTGAAAGGACTGCCTTGTTAACTAGCTGGATGTGCAACATCAACCTTTCTCACTATTGCCACCGGCATCCTCCTCACACAAGTGTTTACCCGCTTCCAGGCTATACGATATTAGCTTACATATATGTAGTTTGTAAAGTGAACTGCCAATGTCTTTGCAGTGATAATGAAGATAGTAGTAGATGCACAAGAAACGACAGTATGGCGGATGTGCGACGGCATACACACGGCTGTGTGTGTTTTTGTGTTAAAGAATATTTGAAAGAGTAGATAGTTAAAGGCAAAGGTATTAAGTTACTTGTATGTACATAGTATTTCCGTGCCATAGGAGCTTGAACTTTGTTCTGACTTGGCGTAGAACTGGACCATTTTAGGACGACACTCATCCTCATAATTTTTGCTTTGCAGAAAATCCAAGCACAAAGGTATTTAAGTATTTATGTTGTGGTAAATACCAAAGTACTATTTACTTAAGTATTTTGGATGTTACTAAATAGCGAGTATGCTAGTATTTACTTATTTTCACAGCGCTAAATACTTAGTCTAAAAGTATTTAGATAATTTCACTTAACGAAACACCGCTTACGTAAGTACTTTGAGACTTTGGATTCACTACAGTATTTCGAGACTTTGTCTGTACTAAATACTGGACAAAAGTAATTATTTCAGTTTTTAATATTTTTATTGAGCTTTGTACCACGATTGTTTATTAGGAGAAATTGAAAAAGCAACAAAGTCTAAGCAACAAAGAAAGCTGAAGTCTAGAAAAAAAGAAGTCTGATGAGGAGATGTGGTGATCTCCGAAATAGTGCTATAACTTCTACCGCTTAGACTTTGTTGCTTTTTCAATTTTTCCTAATAAACAATCGTGGTACAAAGCTCAATAAAAATATTAAAAATAAAATCTTAGCAAGCCACAATAACATTGACAAATACGTAATTATTTCAGGATTTTGGGTAATTTAGGGACTATTTTCGGGATTTTCGAAAATACTTTGAGATTTTTTAGGATTGTCGGGATTGTCGGGACTATTTCTAGATTCTCGGTACTATTTCGGAATTTTAGAGACTAATTCGGGATTTGGAGATTTCCGAGACTTCTTCGGCGCTTTCGGGACTACTTCGGAATTTTCGGAACTATTTTAGGATTCTGTGGATTATTTCGGTATTTTCGGGTTTATTTCGAGGTTTCAAGAATTTTTCGGGTCTCTTTCGAGATTGTCAAGAATTTTCCCGGTCTATTTCGAGATTTTTAAGATTCTAAGGGCTATTTCGGTTTTTTCGAGACTAAATATATCAATAAAAACATTTGTTATAATATCGGTAACAATATCGATTATTATATTGTTAATAAAACCATTATTATATCGTTATCAATATCGATGAATATATCTATAAATATGTTGATAAATATATCTAAAACCAAATTGATAAATACATATATCCATGATAAAAACATAGGAAGGTAAAACCGCTCTCTCAATTGGTCGGCCATGGTTTTTTTTTGAAGTTTGCCAACATTTTAAAATCATATAAAATTGAGAGTAGAAAAAAGGAATGGTTCAAAGTTGTTTTTGTTTGAGATTGAAAATAAGAATGTGTGTGTGAGTTTGTGTGTAAAATTTAAAAATTAAAATGCTTGCAAACGTCAAGAATATGAAAAATTCCTCTCAGCGGTTCTACCTTCCTATTTTTTTATCATGCATATATCCATAATTAAATTGATAAATATATTTTAAAGTTTTAAGCGCAAAAAATTAAAAATTTTATCTCATTTGAACTTGTTTTTAGAACACAAATTTTCCCTGGGTGCACGATCAGATCAAATCTAAAACCCCCTGATTCTCAAGTATGCAGTTACAAAACTGCATCTAACATATTAACGGTTTAGCTGACGCTTTTCACAAAATTTGCATTCATTTTGCAACATTACTTACGAAAACGTTCCGAAATCGTATAGTATGTAACCAATCCTTCTAACACTGTCTCACTATTAACTGTAAGTAATGCTTCAACATAGAAAAGGATAAATCCTACAGACAATAGTATGACGTTTTAGCATCCTATGACGTTGAAGATTGTTGTAATGAATGGAATACGACAATTTGTTGCAATAAAACACACAAATAAACTGTAAGTGTGAATTTTTACATTTTTTTTTTCGCTTCATGCTTAGTCGCTTTGCCAGCGCTTACAATAATAACTTGACATTGAGCATATGCAAATATAGAGCAGGATAGAAATGGTTGAGTCCTTAATGATGTAATTTTTTCTGTTTGTTTGATTAGATTCTGCAATGGATAGGTAAAAAAAAAATGGAAAAGAGTATGTGAGATTTATGTACATAGTTTGCAAACCACATTGCAATGTAATGCGGCGCTAGTTGTGCATATTTTATTTCCCCCCGCTGTTTAAATGACTGTCCACTATGTGATTTATGGCTCAGTTGGCGTTGTATGTTTTTTTATGCCTTTTCTCTGTCCCGCTTCTACACTGAACAATGCGGCAATGTGAATTCTTTTAATTACTTAAGTAGCTGCTGCATTACATATTTTATGCTACATTTCATTTGTCGCATTATGCAAATAGTGTGACGTCCATTAAAAATTATTGCTATTTTTTTTTGTTCAAGATGTCCTCAATTCTTTTGACTGTTTGGTTGCTAGGATGTCTGTGTACCTCTGCATGATAATTTTAGCAAATGATATTTCTAATTACCTAACTTCATAACAACTAATACATATTTCGACTTGAGTAGACGTGTGTGTGCACGTTCTCTCAATACTAATGATAAGTAACTAATATTTGTAGTCATTGATGCGCGCCAATTCCTTTTAACCCAAAAACATAATTAATCCACTCGAAGCATTGAATGCCATTGAATGTTGTTCGTCACGCGTATTCATTGTAATTTTTACAGAATTGATGATATTGAAGACAATTCAATACTTCGCAGAGGTGTTCCCGTAGCGCATTCGATTTATGGCGTAGCCAGCACTCTCAATGCCGCAAATTATGTGCTCTTTCTTTCGTTGGAGAAGGTGCAACAGTTGGGACACCCAGAGGTAAATACAAATTATTAAAATTTTCCTTCATTTTCTAAAAAAACCATTCTTCGCATTCATAGGCCACCAATGTTTACACCGAACAGCTGTTGGAACTGCATCGTGGCCAAGGCATGGAAATTTATTGGCGCGATAGTTTTACTTGCCCTTCGGAATCGGATTACAAGCTGATGACTATACGCAAAACGGGCGGTCTATTCATGCTTGCCATACGCTTGATGCAGCTCTTTAGCGAGAATAAGGAAGATTTCACTAAACTGACCGCCATTCTGGGCTTGTACTTTCAAATACGTGACGATTACTGTAATCTGAGCTTGAAAGAGGTATGCACTATAATTAAGCTTTGTATGTTTTTCTAATTACTTTTTCTATCACTTACATTTTGTGTTTTTCTTCAATTTAGTATACGCAAAATAAAAGCTTTGCTGAGGATTTAACCGAGGGTAAATTTGGTTTTCCTGTCATACATGCGGTACGCTCACAGAAGCATGACAAGCAGGTTTTGCGTGAGTGTTTGCCGAAAATAGTTAAATAGACTTAACTATATGTATGTGTTAATCATTTCCTTAGATATTCTGCGACAGCGCACTCACGATATCGAAGTGAAGAAATACTGCATCAGTTTGCTGGAAAAATTGGGCAGCTTTCAGTATACGCGTGAGGTATTGGAATCACTCGACAAGGAAGCGAGAGCGGAGGTAATATATTTAAGTACTTTGTAAGGAGAGTTATTGATGCACATTTAAGGCGGGGTTTTAATGTAAATTGTTGTCAATTGTATATGGTCTGAAATGCCAATGGTGATTGGGCTACTCACAGGGCATATGTATTTTGATAGGCAAGCTTGCAGAATGTCTCGGGAGTCTTACAAAATTATTTCTTTAGGAGCTGCTAGTTACGACTCAGCTACCAGCTCAGCTCCCTTTGGTTCGACCTCGTTGAAACAGCTTGGCGACAAACAATTGATATACTATCCGGTTTAGAAAACCACGAAGAAGAGTCTGAAACAATTAGGCATTTACCCTGTTACTGCCCTGCACTCTCCAGGAAAGGACAAACAATTCTGGATAAAACAGTTGAATTTTTGAAGTTAATCAACAATCTCTAGTACTTAAAATGGCCATCTGAAATTGGCTCTAAGCGTGACTGCAAAGGTTAGGATATTACAGCTTTTAGGGTTCATAGACTCCACGAGCTATTTAAAAAAGTAATTGGGGTTCTGAATCCATGTGGTTTCACAATTAGCCCTTTACCGGGCCTAGCTGCGCTGGCGTTATAAGTTCTGTAACCACTTCAACCTAGCTGCCCCCACGACAGGCGGGTTAACGTAATCGGAAAATTCGTTGGGGTATTTTGATGGTGTTACAACAACAACCTAAGTTAGCAACATACTACAACCCAGTCAGTTTTTTCGCGTTCCGTTCTTGAAAATGCTTGGAAGTGAAACAGGAGGGCTTCAACATTATACTTTCCACCGGGGCTAGTATAGGACAGAGTCTTAAGAGTATCAACAGATAGTTGGTGGTTTGTTCCTTTGTCTGAGGCAGTCTCTAGCTCGGTTTAGCGATAGCTGAGAGAAGGGCAGATATGTATGCCACATGTTCACAGATGAAATATCTGTATTAGAACAGTAATTCTATTACTCCCTTTTATTACCTAGGATCAAGGACTCAAGTAGTCAATCGGGCGTTAAAACTCAAGCAGCAACGGGCGAAAAATTTTCAAACTAACCAATCACTTCTTCATTAAGTTGATTCTCAAAGTTATAAACTCTGACATTTTGTATATAAAATAGCACAAACCTCTGTGTTAGTTCTAATTGAATTTCTGCCTGCATCGATTTTAGTTTTACTATCAAAAGCCTATATTTGAACATTTTCAACTTAAATTGCATCCTTTGCCATTTCGCTTAAGTTACTCTAGTATACCAAACTACCATACAGAATATATTTCAAATTTAATTATCAACTTTCTACCCCCCTTCACTTACAGGTCGTACGCTTGGGTGGCAATCCTTACATGGATGTCTTGCTCAACAAGTTGCTGTCATGGAAAGCCAACGATAATCACATTAATCACAATGATGTTGCATCGCCGAGCAATCACAATAGCAATTAACAGCCAAAGAGGCAAAAGAGGGAACTTTGAATTAACCCAATTAATTCGCCAACCTCTTTTGCTGCTAAGAGTGAAATGAATATGATAGAGGTTTTTTTGCAAAAACTAAATATTTTTTAAATTATTCAACAAGCGCTTGTTAATAGCTGAATTTCGTGTTTTTTCTTCGTTTCAACGTTCTTTCAATTATTAGAAACATAAAACGAGAATTTTTACTAAAACAGCACTAAAAGAACACTGAAGCATGTAACATAGAGATTTTATTTAATAATTTAAGTACATACATATGAAAAAATACATAGTTATGCGCCGTTGAATTAAAGTATCCTAAGTCGGGATATGCCCTTTTCCCTTTAAAGCAACATTTCATTGAGCTCAAAAACAATATTTTGACCTTTAACTATCCATAGGTGTGGTTCAAGATGCCCTTTTTAAAGAAGCTTAATAAAAATATAAAAATTTTCAAGGGAAACTGATTTTTTTTTTTTTAATTCAAAGTCAAACCTTCCAAAGTCACTTAAGCTACTTTAATTGTACGGCACAGATATGTACCTATGTATTTATGTTCATTAAGTATTCGATTTGTTATCTAGCGTATAATTAACGGAGTTGAGAAGAAAAACGAATCTTCACATTAGTTTTGTTTTTTTTTTTGTATGGAAAATGTATAATAATGAAATTTTGTTTTGATTTGTAAGCTACACTATCTTCCTGCTCTTACACACCTTGCCGTTTACGTATTTGTATTAACTTTTGTGCCAGCATTGTAATTTAAGTTGCGGCTAATAAACATTATTCTTATAAATATTGAAAAAATTCAGATTGAATACGCTTGAGCGCTACACAAAATTATACATTCATTTTTTTACGAAAACCTACTTTCGCGTTTTGAGAAAAAAAAGTTTATTATTAGAAACGTTTTTGAAAAACATGAAATATGCAATTTGATTGAATATTGTTGTTTTACCGGTAACATTTAATGCTACATACTTGTTAATATATCGTGTTGATTATAAACAAAATATGTAATTTCAATTCACTTAAGTACGCGTGTACTTAATATTCTAAATCGATGTATTGTACTTTAATTAAGCAATGTTTTTTAAAGAAAATTTTCATGGAAAATGTTATAAATATCTTAAATATCACTTATCAAAAATTCCAAAATTCGCACGTTTATAGAATATACAAATTGTTAACGCAATAATCATTAAGCAAATGCACATCTACATACGCATACACATCCATACACGCCCTCGTACACACATACGTACATATAAAATCACAGTTACACTCGTTTTTATGCCTGAAGTATACAAAATATAGATTTTAGCGATGTTTATATTCTTTAACCTTTATTCACTTGTAAGTGATATGTGATTATTGTTTAGACTTTCAAGACTTTTTCCAATAAAATGTTTACTATAGCTGCTAGATTTTGTAGACTTCAGGCAGCTAAACAGGCAACAGCAGTTACAAGTAAAGACTTGCAAAACCGTTTGTAAATGATATTTTAAATAAAAGCAAAACAAATTTGTATGTATTCGCAATATTATAAAAATAGAACAAAAAAAAAAATGGACGCACGGCTGGAGAATGTTAACTTTTTTCAAATGAAATGCACTGCAGTTTATTGCACATTGCACCACCTAAAGTATATACATAAGTATACATAAAAATATATATATTAATTATTACATAAATATATTTTTATTCATATAAGTATTAAATACTTGCTACAGAGAATTTATGAAGTAAAAAGCCTATTGTAAAAGTGAAAGAAAATTTAAATAAACATAATGAAAATTAATAAAAAAAAAACTAGTAGTCATGTAAATTGAAGGTTAAAAACGGACAAAGATTTGTTAAAGCTTTTGCAGAGCAAACTAAAATATAGTGAGGTCCTAAAGGATTTTGACAGAACTAGAGTATTGATTTAAGTAGGTTGTTGTAACAGCATAAAAAAATGCTTCTTCGGTTTTAGGCATGTTGTAGAAATGGCAATCCTTGGGGCCCTATATATGTACATGAATATGTGGCTCATTTCGGTTGCGGATTTTTAAACTATACCAAGAATCGCCAGATGGCCGAATTTTTTTTATACCGTTTTTACTGTAGATACTATTTATTGGGTCTTCGCACTTAAAATAATAGCTTTCTGCACGATTTCATTCAAAGTCCAATGGCGTATATGTTGATTTTTTTTGAGGAATGCATTATGAAATGAAAGTATGCTCGTTAATTGTACATATTTTGTATAGTGTATTTAAATCATTTGATTACCTTTTGCATATCTAAATTCTAGCTATTACATAAGGCATTATAAATATGTATTAGAAATATTATTTTATAAACACTTAATAACTTTCTTATTAATAAATTATTAATATGCACGTTTTGCACATTATACCACATACATATGTATGTATATAGTACTTATAAGTCAAGCAAAACACCTAAATGCACATATTCACATTCATATAAATTAATTGCAGCCATTGATTTGATCAATTAAGGCCTAAATAATTTAGGCTTTACTTTTAACTTAGTTAAATAAATTAAAGCAAATTTACTTATAAATTTCCTAGTGTCCAACATTGCATGTAGTATGTATAAAAATGTTTTTTTTTTTCTATTTGTTTTAATCCATCTCAGCTTTTTATATTTTATATGCTAAATTTTATATTTAGTTTTTATTTTATTTTTCCACTTATGTATATCTGTGATGTAGGGTACTAAAATATTTTATAAACTGGTCTGAGAGTTAATAGTTACGTTTAAGTCCAGATTTGTATTATATAGTTTTATTAAGGGCCGTTTTCTGAAGTAGCTTTTTCTGCCCTTCCAACACAGTTTTTGAAACAAAATTTGTCTGTAAAGGGCGGATACATTTTAAACGCCCCAAGTGAACTAAAGTAAGAAATAGCGAATGAAGTCATTTTTCAACTAAATGTCGTATTTTCACTTTAGAAGCTGTTTTGTATATCCATGCATTTCATTTAGCGTGAAACCCTATGAACATAGTTATATCGAGTAAATAACATTTATGTACATGTCTAGCGATTATTATAAAATTCAATTTTAATTGTTAGGTATATGTAAATATGTAAGAGTACACAGTCTACATATAAGTAGTAGCTTTTATACAAAATTATGCAAAAAATTTGGCGTAACAGCAAGAACGCATAAAAGTTGACAATTTAGTTAATTTATACAAAAATATAAAACACACACAGCACGAAAATATTGCAGATTTTTTTTTATAATTTTCACACAGACATAATTGTTTAAACATACGCACATAGTATATGTATGTATGTATATATATTAGACCAAGCCAAAGAAAGTCCTGCAATGCGATTAAAAATTCTCACATTCTTTAAAGTCCTAAATTATCCTTTTTAACTCGGGTTTAATTAGGCTGGCCTTGTTTGGGTGATTCCTTGTAATTAAAAAAAAAAAAAAAAATATTCTTACAGTTTCGGATGTTTTGATTGATGTTAGAAAAATATATTGACCTCAAAGGAGAAGAAATAATTTTCTTACGAGAATTATCGTAGACTCTCTATTCGTTGAGGATTATTACAATATCAAATACTAAAATGTCGGTTTTCGGTCGCATTGCAGAATTTTTTTGTTTTGTTTTGGCGTGGTCTAATGTATTTGCATGCTTAATTAGCTTTCCGTTTCTTTTGCCATCAAACACTTTTTCAGCATTAATTTCGATTTGTTAGTACACTGCAAAAGGTTTTTGTATACAATTTGAAATTCGTAATAATTAATTACAACAATATATGTAAATACTCAATGCCTTGTAGCTCTAAATATTAATGCGCTTGGCTTTCGTAGACAAATGTATGCACTTACATAAAATTATTTCAATTGTATAGTATATGTTTAAGGTCACAGATTTATGTATATATATTTTTAAGTATATCCTTTAAATACCTGTAATCTTTTTAGCATAGAATTATCAGCTTTCTTAAATACTTGCCATTACGAGACAATTTGGCAATGTGCTAGGCATTTGTTTATTGTTGTTGTTGCAACAGCATACAAATTCCCTAACGAGTTTTTGGAAAATGATGCTGGAGCCATTGTCCTTGGCCACATATGAATCTGGATCGTTATGGTTGAGCAAAGTGTCTGTAAATTCTGTTTTGCCTGCTAACAAAAATTAGTAGGCTTTGTGTTAAACCTTCTAGTTTTAATTGCTTTGCAATGGACAAATAGCAGTCTTCTCGTATTCTCCACTTAAAATGATCCTTTCTCAGAATTTAGAGGCATCCGCTCTAAAAGAAAAAAAATTGCAAAAAAACTCGCCAGCTTGGCACATTGACTCCGATTTGGTAGTTTTTACAGCTGAATGCTTTTGTATAGGGAAAACCTATTTTAACAGATGAATGAATGAATTATTTTTCTCAAAATTATTTGCAATGCCAAATCATGAGGCATTCAAAAACACTAGAATCTACTCCAAATAGCCGTGCTTTTTCCAAAGAAGTTAAGTAGCTAGAGCTACATATGTACATATGTACATATTTCAACAATCAATATACTGAAATCTGAAAAGTTTGGTCAAAAACATTTTGGTATATTTAGAGAAAAACATGGTACAAAATAAAAATCGTATACGGCTACCGTAGCTGGCATATGTACACAAAAAATTAGAAAAGTGGAGAGTGATAGTAAATTTACTAAAAATAAACTCATTATATCTTGTGCTTAATAACTTTACTCTCTTTTCAATTGCAAATAAAATTTTTCCTACCAAAAATTAGCTGCTCTCAATAGTTCAGCTCGTCGAGCAAAAAGTTTGTTCGAATTATCTTGATTTTTGTCAAATCGCGTTCGTGCGAACCAAAAAATTTGCAAACACTAAATTTTCAAGTATTAACTGGTTGCACTCTATGATCCGCCATTTTGTTTGCGACGCCATTTTGGATAAGAAATTGGTTTTCTAAAATGCACTGTGTTCTACTTGTCAAGCTCTTTCATTTGATACCCATACTGAGGGGATTGAAAACAAAATATATAATTCGTCATTTTGTGATGGCGGCCAACTTGGATTTGGAATTTTTTTTATAAGGTACTGCATTATACTAGTCAAGCCCTTTAATTTGATATCCATATTGAGAGGATGGTGAAAAACTAGGTAATCCGCCATTTTATGGTGATGGCCATCCTGGATTTACTGAATATACATATACAAAGCATATTAATGTATAAAATAAGTTAGGTTAGGTTACGGTTTTCATAAGGAAATTGCTTCGAAAAATATTAGATTAATCAGCTGCTCATAAAACTAACAAACTGTTACTGGTTTTGCGTTCACGTATTTTTTTTTTTTAGAAAATTTTTGCTTTGAGAGCGACTTCTATAAAATTAAGTTACTGGATAATTTTTACTGGAGAATACATGAACATGCTTTTGGGCTACAATTTTTGAACGTATGTTCTGAACGTGTGTTCCAATTCCATACAGAAAAAACTAAGAAATATTCGTTGCTCATCCTAACTTCAAAAATATTTTCAAACAAGTAAGAAAGCCTAAGTTCGGGCAGAGCCGAACATTAAATACCCGGCGCACGTATTAAATATATGTTTTTCGCCTTAACGAAAGCTACGGCTACATGGTAAGCCGGGGCGTATCAATTTTGAGTAAATTAGAGTCCTTAAATTTCGATTTTGAAGTTTCAAGCAGTTCTGAAATTTACCGTTATATGAGAAGCGGCCGTTATTTTAGTCCGATTTCAATAATTTTCAACGTTTTGCTTATATGTGGCAAGCACAATAACCACACCGAGTTTGGTACAAATTGGTAGAACGGTTACTGAGATACATATATGTGATCATAAGTGGGCGGTGCCACGCCCATTTTCAAAAAATTTATCACAAACGTATTTCTTGGTAAAGAATTGTTGCAAGCATCAATTTTGAATAAATTAGCTTCAATATTTAATGATTTATCGAAGATTTTGTATTTCTCTAAATTACCGTTATATGGGATGTGGGCGTGGTTATCGTCCGATTTTAAAAATTTTCGGCGATTTTGTATGCTGTACCAAGGCCGATAACTGTGCCAAGTTTGGTAGAAATTGGTACAGCGGTTACCAAGATATACACATGTAACCATAAGTGGGCGTGGCTACGCCCATTTTCCAAAAATGTATAATATTCTTATTTTTTGTCAAAAAATTATTGTAAATACCAATTTTGAGTGATTTATCTTCAGTAGTTACTAAAATATCGCAGTTTTCGTATTTCTGGAAATTACCGTTATATGGGAAGTGGGCGTGGTTACAGTCCGATTTCGCCCATTTTCAATAGCAACCTACCTTGGATTAAGGGAAACCTACATACCAAATTTCGTTGAGATATCTCAATTTTTACTCGAGTTATCGTGTACACGGACAGACGGACAGACGGACAGACGGACAGACGGACGGACAGACAGACATGGCTTAATCGATTTCTTTTTTCATCCTGATCATTTATGTATACATTTGTCTATATCTATCTCGATTCGTTTTGGCTGTTACAAACAACCGTTATGTGAACAAAATTAATATACCCTTG